TGATTAACTCTGTCACTTACAATGTTTCCAAATATCTGGCGTCTGTACTCATCCCTTTAGTTGGCAGCTCAGAACACCACATACAGAACACCATGGACTTTGTGGATAAGGTGAGGGATGTCATCATGGAGACTGATGAAACAATGGCCTCTTTTGATGTCACATCACTCTTTACGTGCATTCCTGTTGATGATGCAGTAGAGGTGGTCAGTTTAAAATTAAAATCAGACACCACTCTGAGCAGCAGGAAAAGGCTTTCCACAGAACAACTGTGTCAACTCTTGAAACTGTGCCTGCAGTCAACCTACTTCACATATGGGGAGCAATATTATAAGCAGAAACATGGGTGTGCTATGGGGTCTCCAGTTTCTCCTATTGTTGCCAACCTGTACATGGAGGAGGTAGAAAAGAGAGCCTTGACGTCCTTTTCAGGGACACCACCAAGTCATTGGTTCAGGTATGTTGACGACACCTGGGTTAAAATTAAATCTCAGGAAGTCCAACATTTTACTGACCACATCAACTCTGTGGATAAATACATCAAGTTCACACAAGAAGATGAAAAAAATGGCAAGTTGGCTTTCTTGGACTGTGAGGTCTCAGTCTCTGATAGAGGACATTTGCAAACTGAGGTGTACCGCAAACCCACCCACACAGACCAGTATTTGCAATTTGACTCCCATCACCCTTTGGAGCACAAGTTAGGAGTCATCAGGACTCTGTACCACAGAGCCGACAGCGTCCCCACTAGCTCAGGAGCCAGGCAGAAGGAGAAATCCTACACAAAACAGGCTCTAGAGCAATGTGGATATCCTAACTGGGCCTTCCTGAAAGCAGAGAAGAAAACCAAACAGGACTCCAGTCAGCCATCAGGTGAAAAGGAGGAACCCAGACCCAGACCAGTGGTCATTCCATATGTTGAGGGAGTATCAGAGAAACTGAGACGTTTATTTTCTAAACATAACGTCCCAGTGGCTTTTAAACCCCAAAATACATTACGGCAAAGACTGGTTCATCCCAAAGATCCAGTCCCCCGGCACAAACAGAGCAATGTTGTGTATGCTGTTCAGTGTCAGGAGGGCTGTGATCAGCCTTACATCGGGGAAACAAAACAGCCACTGGCCAAAAGGATGGCCCAGCACAGAAGATCAACATCATCAGGCCAGGACTCTGCGGTCTACACTCATCTCCAGGCCAGCGGTCACTCTTTCAGGGATGAAGATGTGCACATCCTGGATAGAGAGGAACGATGGTTTGAGAGAGGAGTAAAGGAGGCCATCTTTGTGAAAAGAAATCGTCCATCGTTAAACAGGGGTGGAGGCCTACATGTTCAATTGTCCCCCTCTTGCAATGCTGTGATTGCAAGTATCACTCAGCCCTCTGTCAATAGTAAACAGCCATCAGTGTGCTAATGATCCATTGTTAGGCTGATGGTCCTTCTTGAGCATGTGATCAGCTGGTTTTGGTTGTCAGCAGCAAAACTGGTTGATCCACTCTGAGAAGGTGCTATTTAAGAGACTGAGCTGAATACAGCACCTCAGACTGAGGAAGTCTCTCGGATGAGAGACGAAATGTTTCTACATTTTTTTGTTGTTTTGCTTTGTTTTGTTTTTTTGAATGTCCAGAGGACCAGATTTAACTTTTTTAGATCAACAGGAATTAATTAAAATATAAAATACATACAGAATATAAAATAGATAAAGAATATAAAATACATAAAGAATATAAAATACATACAGCAAAGTTAAGGATAAGCGAGTCTAAAGAGATTTGTTTTCAGAGCAGTCTTGAATAGAGGAAGAGAGGTGGTGTTTCTTAAGTCAGGGGGTAGAGAGTTCCAGAGATGAGGGGCAGAGCAGGTGAAGGTCCTGCTCCCCATGGTGGAGAGGTGGGCAGAGGGTACATGGAGGTGTAGTGAAGAGGAGGATCTGAGAGAGCGAGAAGGGATGGAGATGTGTAGGAGGTCAGACAGGTAAGGAGGGGCAAGGTTGTGGATAGCTTTGAAAGTGAGAAGAAGAATTTTGAAGACGATGCGTGATTTAACCGGGAGCCAGTGGAGCTGCTGCAGGACTGGAGTGATGTGGTTATAGGAGGAGGTTTGAGTTATGACACGGGCAGCTGAGTTCTGGACCAATTGCAGCTTCTGAAGAGATTTGTTGGGGAGGCCATAAAGAAGGGAGTTGCAGTAGTCAATCCGGGAAGTCACAAGACTGTGCACAAGGATGGCTGTGGAGCGGGGTGTGAGAGAAGGACGAAGTCCTCTCACACCCCGACACCGGAGAGGTGTCGAGGATGACACCAAGACTCTTGACCTGAGGTGAGGGGGATAGCAGAGAGTTGTTAAGGGGGATGAGAAGATGTTCTGATTTTGAAACCAACAAGGCACCAACAAGATTGATTTCTGTTTTGTCATTGTTTAGTTGTAGGAAATTGTTAGAAAACCAATGATTTAGCTCATTGAGACAGTCTGTGAGGATGGAGCTTGGGTGGGTGGAGTTTGGTTTTGTTGACAAGTAGAGCTGTGTCATCAGCATAACAATGGAAATGGACACCAAATTTGCAGAAGATGTGACCTAGAGGAAGGAGGTAAATGATGGAGGAGGGGTCCGAGGACAGAGCCTTGGGGGACACCCGTGGAGACGGGGGAAGACTGGGAACGAAAGGATTTAAGCTGAATGAATTGAGTGCGGTCAGATAGATATGATTTGAACCAGTCTAACGGAGTACCTGAGATGCCAATGGAGGTTAGTCTGTTGAGGAGGATAGAATGACAGATTGTGTCCAAGGCAGAACTTAGATCAAGTAGAATGAGGAAAGACAGAAGAGCAGAGTCAGCAGCAAGAAGAAGGTCATCAGTTATTTTTATTAGAGCTGTTTCGGTGATATGGTGGGGCGAAGACCAGATTGAAACTCTTCATAAATGTTACTGTTGGATAGGTGAGAGTTAAGATGACTAGCAACGGCTTTTTCAAGAACCTTGGAAATAAAGGGCAGATGGGATATCGGACAAAGATTACTGAAGTTGGTAAAGTCAAGACCTGGTTTCTTAATGATGGGGGTGATGGCAGCAGATTTGAAAGCTGTGGGAACAATGCCAGAGGTTAGGGAGGAGTGAATAATGTAGTGATGATGGGGAGCAGAGACGGGAGACAGGATTTAACAAGAACTGTGGGAAATGGATCAAGTTGACAGGATGAGGACTTAGACTTGCTGACAATGTCAGCAATGTCATCAGCAGAGGGGAGGGAGAAGACAGAAGGAGAGGGAGGGAGGGGGGAGTTCAACATAGATGCTGGGGGCGGTATTAGGTCCAAGGTGTTTATGAATTGAAATAATCTTTTCATTGAAATAAGACATCAGAGAGTTGCAAAATTCTGTGGAAACCATGTGAGAGGATAATGAGTTAGGAGATGAGACTGAACGGTTAAGGAGAGAGAACAAAATCTTTGAATTACCAACATTGGAACTGATGATGTCAGAGAAGTAGCTGGATTTGGCTTGAGAAATACTGTCCTTATACTGGATGACGTGGTTCGCATAGAGTTCCTTGTGAATTGAGAGACCGGATTTCTTATAGAGTCGCTCCAACCTCCGACCTTTGGATTTCAGAAAACGGAGTTCTGGAGTGAACCAGGGTGCAGAGTTGGAGAAGGAGACAGACCGGGTTTTCAGAGGAGCAACAGAGGTAAGGATGTTGGTGAGGCTGTTATTGTAGAATGTGACAAGGTCATCTGGGTTAAAAGAATTGAAGGTGAAGAGGGTATTATTAATATGAGACAAAAGAATGTCATGGTTCTTAATATTACAGAAGGAAAGAGTGCATTGAGGTTTCTCTGAAGAAAATTTAAGATTGACACTGAATGAAATCATGAGGTGATCAGTAAATGGAAGTTCATCAGAAGAACAGTTAAGAGGAGAGAGTCCACAGCAGCATAGTAAGTCCAAAGTGTGGCCCTTTATGTGGGTTGGAAAGTTAATGAACTGCTGGAAGCCACAGCTGTCAAGGCAGGATGTGAAGTCTCTGGTGAGGGGGTTGTTGTCTTCATCCATATGAATGTTAAAGTCTCCAAATAGAATAATGATGTAATCAGGAACACGGTGCCACTGAAGTGTTCTGGTTGGTGCTCACATTTGGTTTAGATTGAACATGCTTATTAACACTTGAACATCCTCACCTACCATTTATCACACTTTGAAGCTTCTTTGGGATACTTACCTCCTGTTTCCCAGTTAGGAGTCAGACTTCTCTGTCCCACCAGTCCAGCATAATCTCTGACGCTGCCACGGAATCTGGCACCAGGCCAAGTCTGTTCACCTCAGAACAGCACAACGAGAAACTGGCCGACAAATGAAGAACAGCTTCACCTGAGCCAAAAGCTATGGCTGTCCACTTGGGACTCAGGTTATCTTTGTCTATTGTTAACTAGGGATGCACAATATTATTGGCATGGTATCGGACGATATTAACAATGAAGGTAAATATCGGACATATATATTTATATATATATATATATATATATATATATTTATATATATATACATATATACATATATATATATACAGTGTTACATCATTTTCTGTCCCCTTTTTGGCATCTGCATTTGGTAACAGGCCGAAGACCATGCAGAATAATGTAGTAATTTAATTCCACAGCAGAGAAAGCTATGTAGTCTCTGTAAGTAGGTCTAGGAAAAAAAATATCAGTATTGGTATTGGTTATTGCGTATCGGTCAAATAAGTTTTAACATATTGGCATATCGGCCAAAAATTCAATATCATGCATCCCTAATGTTAACTTCTTTGATGATCTAAAACAAGTATCTGTGACAAAAAGGCACAAACAGGAGAAATCTGTAAGGGGTGAATACTTTTTCGCAGGACTGCCTCAGGACTTGACATTATCTGCGTGGACTGTCAGGCAGTCCAACCTGACAGGTGAAATGAGAAGAAATAACCAGACATGCTTCAGTTCAACACTATTTATTTACATATTTGTCTCCAAACACCCTTTCCATTCCAAGCCTTTGCATCTTCTGTTGTTGTTAGCTGGATCGTGTCATTCTGGGTTTGTCATCATCACATTCACATTTCGGCTCCTGTCTATTCTTCAGTCAACAAGTTCTTTAATATCCTGTCCAGAAACAAACCACAGGTGTGTTTCAGTCCACGGGGCCCTGGAAGATGAGTTTAACGTGGCCCTGCTCCCCTGTCAGCCAGGTCCCACAGAAGGGGCAGGCAGCATGGAAGGCATGCGTACCATGGGGTAATGGGATCTGGCTCCACCCCACCACTGTCTTTTCTGAGCACACATGGCCACAGGGGCAGAAAGCATGAGTAGGGGGCCCCGCATCCAAGTACAATCCGCCCTCACAGCCTAACCACAAAGGCACATAGGGGCCCACCTTCCGGCACATAGGACACTCCCTCTCGCCAGTGCCTCCTGGGGCTGTGCCCCCTGAGCTGGTGTGTCCTTTGTCCTTGCGATAGCCCCAGTTATGGTAACCGTGCACATGGCCGCAGTTGACGTAGACCCAGGGCTGCTTCTTGTCAACGATCTCACGCTGCGCCAGGCTGGGAAAGGCCAGGGTGTTGAAGCCCACAGGGCACTGAGGCCGGGCAGCATTCAGCTCCTGCCGCAGGGACTCCAGCTGTTTAAGAGTGGGAATATGACGCAGTCCAGCAGAGGTCCTCCAAAGCAGGGTGGCTCCACATAGATCAATCAAAGAACCATCCTGAAGGGTGTTTGACTCATTCTCCACCTTAAACAGAAGAGAAAGACAAGAAGCGAGACAACGATCACTGTCAAATATTCATTCATGTTCATTTCACCCTGTTGGTTCTTGTGTTTGGTTGGTTGGCATTTATGTTCAGATTGTTGTTAGTTACTGTAAAAATAAAAGCATGGAAGTCAGATGTACTTGATGAATGCAAAAGAGAAAAGCACTTCATATTCAGCGCAGTCCTAGATTGTGAAACTGAAAGTAAGGTTAAGAGGACTGAGACTTTTTAGTTTTTTCAAGACCAGCGTTTAACAGGAAGTGAGCGGGCATCATCACTTTAAAAGACCTTTTAGAACCTTCACTAGAATGTGTGAGTATATTTGTGCCTGTACAAATTGGATTCATGATGACAACTAGATTCTACTGTTTGGGTTGGTGAAATCTGGTTGTCTACAAATTCATGTGGAGGTGTTGAAGCTTGACAGTGCTCGGACTGAATGTGGAGCTGTGACAGGGAATTGGAGCAGCTGTATCAGGACTGTGTTCTCCCTGGCAGCACTCATGAATGATGGGAATAATCTGGAGAAGCTGTGAGCTCGACTTTTGGAGTAAAGGATCAATTTGTCTGTTTTGGAGTTCCATCAGAGAATATATACCAACAAGACTTTAAAGGCAGAAACAACAATTCATGAGTTCTGCCTGACCCAAACTGTGGCCTTGATGCCGGACTTATCTCAACTCCTCCTGGAATGTTTTGAAAAAAACAAAGATGCTTTGACTGTTTCCTCATCCCTCCCTTCCCCAAGGCCGTGGACATGTAACAGAACCTCAACTGAGCTGACGATGAATGTCACCTCTTATCTGGACAATGGCTGAGGGGGGGCTCTGGACTATGCTATGACTTTGCCTTAAAAATTCAATGTTTTCACCTCCTATATGTAAACGTATAACATCTGTTTATGTTGCTTTGCTGTGGTAGTTTTTTTTGATGCCTCAAATTGTGCCCTGTCTAGGACACGGTGTGAGAGATCTTTTTTTATACCGTCTCTCCTCATGTTTTCTTTCCTTTTCTCATCTAAGCAAAATATTATTCTGAATAAGAATAAGAAGGCCGCGCTAATTATTTATAGCCGCAGCTTCGTGCACTCCGCCCATCTTCGGACGACTGTACGTATATATTCACGTTGTATCTCGGTGCAATGCCAATAAAGTTATTCTGATTCTGATTCTGACGTGATAAAACCATAGGCGTCGCAACCATTATATGTGAAGGGGACATGTCCCCCCCACATTAAAAAAAACGTTCATTTGGACCCCTCCCCCCCCCACACACACACACCTTTACTATGAAACATTAGTTCAGTCAGTGCATTCTCTTTCTTCGTGAACAAATCCATTCCACTTGATTAATAGGAGAATACTCAGACCACTAAAACTCCACTCCAGGTTTCTGTTTCTGTGCGTCTCCTCCTGCCTCGGCAGAAAATGCGCACAGGTGGAGGAAATGGAGACACCTCTGTGTTGCTCACTCACCAGTTTAGCGAGCTTAGTGTGGGCAGTTGTTGACCAGGGACGTTTGATCATAAACATATATTCATGTTAGGAGGATGCTTGAGAGGAGCGCTACATCTGTAGCATGTTAGCTTAGCAGTAACTGACTCTGTAAGACGCTGCAGGTGTAAGAGACGCTGTGAGTTCAGGTGCATTAAAGTTGAAATGTCTTCAAAACCCCACACCTTATTGTCCTCAAGCTTCGTGAGAAACATCATTTAGATGAGTGTTGAACACAAGTGAAAATGTCTAGTGGTGATGGTTTTTATTTCTCTATAAAGTCAAGTCAAGTCAACTTTATTTATAGAGCACATTTAAAACAGGACCTGTTATCAACGTGCTTAACAACAACAACAATCAATGAGTAAATTAAAGAGAAAAATATATAAACATATATATAAATACACTAGGGCAGCATGGTGGCGCAACTGGTAGAGCTGCTGCCTCTCAGCGAGCAGGTCCTTGGTTCAAACCCCGGTCCAGGGGCCTTTCTGGGTGGAGTTTGCATGTTCTCTCCGTGCATGCGTGGGTTTACTCCGTGTACTCCGGTTTCCTCCCACAGACCAAAAACATGCATGTTAGGCTAATTGGTAACTCTAAATTGTCCCTAGGTGTGAGTGGGAGAGTGAATGGTTGTTTGTCTCGTTTGTCTCTATGTGGCCCTGTGATGGACTTGCGACCTGTCCAGGGTGTACCCCGCCCCTCGCACAGTGATTGCTAGACATGGGCACCAGCGACCCCCGTGACCCAAAATGGAATAAGCGGGTAAAGATAATGGATGGATGGATGGATAAATACACTAATAATAACTGAAGAATTAATAAAAAGCATTAAAAACATAGGGTCACAGATTAAAAAACACTAGATCAATTTACACTGTGTTAAATGCCTGAGAGAACAGATGTGTTTTTAGCAGATTTGAAGGGAGGAAGGGAGGTGGCCTGCCTGATGTTGGGGGGCAGGTTGTTCCAGAGTTTGGGCCCCATGACTGAAAAAGTCCGATCTCCTCTGAGCTTCAGTCTTGTTTTTGGAACAGCCAAAAGCAGCTGATCGGATGATCTCAGGGCCCGAGAGGGAACGCAAGGTTCCAGAAGCTCAGAGAGGTAAAGGGGTGCGAGGCCATTTAGGCATTTGAAGGTCAACAGAAGAATTTTAAAAACTATCCTCGTACGAACAGGGAGCCAGTGAAGGGAGGACAGAACTGGAGTAATATGTTCAGACCTACGAGTTCTGGTTAAAAGCCGAGCAGCAGCATTCTGGATGAGCTGAAGACGTGAAATGGAGGCCTGGCTGATCCCAGCATACAGTGCGTTGCAATAGTCCAATCGGGTCGTGACAAAGGCGTGGACTAGTTTCTCAAGGTCAGGTCTGGACAACACTGGCTTGAGCTTAGCTACCTGTCTGAGTTGGAAGAAGCTTTTCTGCAGAACAGAGTTGATTTGTTTGTCAAACTTGAAGTCAGAGTCTAAAAACATCCTGAGATTTTTACCAGACTGCTTCAGATATGGCTGAAGAGAGTCCAGGTTGACAGGATCAGTGGTGGCAGTTGAGCTAGGGCTAAAAACAATGACTTCAGTTTTGTCATTGTTAAAACTTAAGAAATTTGAAGCCATCCAGGCCTTAATGTCGTCCAGACATTTTAACAGAGGGTGAATGGAGCAAACACTTGCTGGTTTCACAGGCAGGTAGATCTGGCAGTCATCAGCATAGCAATGGAATGAAAGACCATGTTTCCTCAGGATGGACCCCAGTGGGAGCAAATAAAGTGAGAACAGAAGGCGTCCAAGAATCGAACCCTGTGGGATCCCACAAGAAAGAGGTAATGAGGCGGATATATTATTACCAACCTTGACACAGAAACTCCTGCCACTCAGGTATGAGCGGAACCATTCTAATGCAGCACCTGTGATCCCAACCCACTGTTCCAGCCGTGATATAAGGATACTGTGGTCAACAGTATCAAAAGCAGCAGTAAGGTCCAGGAGCACAAGTACCACAAATTGACCAAAATCGTTTGAGATCATAATGTCGTTACAAACCCTTACTAATGCTGTTTCAGTGCTGTGGAGTTGCTTAAAACCAGATTGAAAAATTTTGAAGATTCTGTTCTCATTCAAAAACTTGTTTAATTGAATGAAAACTATTTTCTCCACGATTTTGGACAGGAAGGGAAGTTTTGAGATTGGTCTGAAATTTGAGCAAGTCGAAGGGTCAAGTCCAGGTTTCTTAATTAACGGATGAACTACTGCATGTTTGAAAACATCGGGAACTACACTTGTCACAATACTACTATTTATAATAGTAAGAACAGAGGGTCCAATCGTGGGTAGAACTTATTTGAAAAACGATGCAGGAATGGGGTCAGCGGGGGAACCGGAGGGTTTCATCTGACCAACAACTTTGTTTAGAAATGGGAGTGAAATGGGTTCAAACTGTTTGAACACAGCTGAGCAAGGGACAAAGACAGAGGGATCAGTTGTGGACTGGGGGATGGATGACCTAATCAACTCTACCTTATCAGCAAAGTATCTGGTAAAGTTGTTGCAGATGTCAACGGAGGCCTCCATGCTGGCAGAACGAGGTACGATTAAAATGGAATTTACAGTATTAAAAAAAAACACGGGGATTATGACTGTTTGAAGCAATGATTTGGGAGAAGTATTTGTTCTTTTCAGATTTAACGATGCTCTGATAATCTTTCAAACATGTTTTTAACATAATAAAAGAAACCTGTAATTTGTCCCTTTTCCACTTACGCTCAGCTCTCCTGCATAGACGTTTGGCTGCTCGAGTGGTCGCGTTCAGCCAGGGGTGTGGTGCCCGCTTTGGTCGCCTGATTTTTAGCACGAGGTCTAAGATCTTAGAGCAGGTCACATCATGCCTACTGAGCAGCTCCTGTGTATTAATACAGGTAGAGGTTTCAGGGACTGAAGCAGCATCAGTAATGAATGCAGAGGAAAAAAGAGCAGCGGTTGAAGAGTTAAATATCCGACAACTCTTGGCTGGAGCGGGGAATTTAGACTCATGAATAACAGAGGTTTGGAATGAAATGGGTTTGTGATCTGAAACAATAGCATCCCCAACTTACAGATTAACCACAGATAAACCATGAGACAGAACTAAAGCAAGTGTATGGCCCTGTTGATGAGTTGGACCAACAACATTTTGCACAAGGTTGAAAGATTGTAGCAGATTAGAAACTCCTGCACCAAAGGCTTGTCAGGACAGCAAACGTGCACAATAAAGTCTCCCAGAATCAAGACCCTGTCGTAATTGAGCAGTATTCCAGTCAAAAAGTCCATGGAGCATTAAAAAAGGCACAATCCACCAGCAACAGTTCAGAAAAAACACTTAACTCACTAGGGACGAGCCAGATCTCTGTAACAAACATGAAGTCCAGTCCATTGGAGCAGAAATAATCGTTTAATATGAAAGTTTTATTTGCCAGTGACCTCACATTCAGCAGAGCAACCTTTGTAGGACCAGTTGCTGAAGGTAAAGCTGTGCTCCGAGCACAGATCAGCTGTTTCAGACTTCTGGAGTTTGAACCGCGCCTCCAATGACAAGAGACGCCGCAGCTGTGCACGCACCCGCGACGCGAGCCAGGCTCGACTACGGGGATCAGGCAGGACACAGCAGGATCAGCGAAGCACCTGGACAGGCGAATATCCAGCAGATGGTCGGCAGGAGATGATGCAGCAGAAGGTCAGGAGTTGGTTAAGTTCCACTGGAGACGACCGAAACCACCGTGGCCGCGCACGCCCGCTGCGCGTACCAGGCCCGGGCACCTGGAGCAAGCTGGAGTTGAGTGGATCAGCGAAGCATCCGGATGGACAGTTTAACGTCTGATGGTCAGCAGCAGGTGACGAGGCAACTGTAGTGAACTAGGCCTGATGTCAAAACCTTGACCTTAAGGACCTTATGGGACAGAACTTGTCATTTCATTGATTTGCATCCAGAAATACAGGTTGACCCATCCTGAGACTTTCTTTCTTAAGTTAATCAAGTGAAAGAAGACTATTCTCTATTATCATTACTATTTTACAAATGTTTGATAATCAAATTGTGTTAATTCAAACAATGTTTGAATGTTGAAGTGAACTACTCATTTTTATTAACTGTGAAACAGTAATAATGATTTTAATCCTCATGCAAAGTTAGAATTCATGTTAAGGTCTGTTACAGAGTAATTATGCATTTTCTGATTTTCTGTCTTTGAATGAGCAGGGTAAGTTGGTCCAAGGTTGGAGTCAAACGCAGACAAGTGTTGGAACAAGCTGTCTTGTTTTTAAATCCTCTCAGACGTAAATAGAGAAGCTGGCACCTGTTGGCACCTGTTTTCCGCCAACTCGTCTAAATATCCCTCTCGTCTGTCTGAAAAACATTTTCAATCTGTTCCATAACATTCTTGCTGTTTTTCTGACTCCTAGTAACCTCTTACGTCACAAAAACACACCCCTGTCTGGTCGATATTGACCAATCAGAAACTCCCAGATGAACCGGAAATAGAGCCCTTTAAAATGTCGGTACTTCCTAGTTCAACCGAGTCGAGTTTGCGGTCGAGTTTGGAGTCGAGTCCAGTGGGAGTCGGGTGAAGTGTCGAGGAGAACCAGTCGCTTCAGGCTCCGGCTTCAGTCGTTGCAACTCGTGCTGGGAAACAGGAAAATCCTGACATGACCACAGAGCTCTTCCAAGTCTTATGGGATTATAACATCTTCCACCTCTGGGTGGAACTCTGACGGACTCCACTCATGTGAAGTCCACTCGTGAGGTGAATTTGTGTCGGACGGAATACCGTCACTACTTCGGACGATTCACAGCTGTTCCTACGGAGACGCTGAAAGGGTGCGTTGAATGGACTTTCGTACCAGTGGAGACATCTCCAGGTAAAAGAGTTGATTTATACCACCTAAGTGTACTGGGGGAAGAAGCTGAGAAAAACCCGGAGAGTGCCGTTCTGATAATGACACAAACAAACCCCCTCACCCATCTTTTTCTCCCTCTAAACTTCATCTTTCCATCTTTGAAATTCTTCTATCAGGTAGAAATCATTCCAGATATTTTAGAAATGTCTGTGTAAAGTTCTCAACCACCGCCGTGTGGTCAATCGAAATTGTACAGCTTGCTAAAATTAGCCATGTTGTTATTTTCCATATTTTGCCAATTAATGTAAATGTGTGATGTGTTAAACTTTGATTCTGTTAATAAATGACCCACTGTCGTTGGTGAGTCAAAGATAATTAACGTCTCACGTTACATTTTATTAAATTCAATGCACATTATATACAGTCCAGAAAAATGAAAGAATCCGTTTAATTTATGAATATATCTCATGCATATGTTCAGCTACACAGCAGAGAGCTTGAAGCTGGCTTTAATCATCACGAGACGGCCGGCACGTCTCCCACGGCGCCTGGAGCGATGTTTTCGGGCGGGCAGAAACGCCGCGCGCTTCAGGTAAACCGGGACATTAACAAGCAAAGGGGGTGGGGGTCCAGAGCCCTGATCAAAGTGGTCGAACAAGGCGGGGTTTGCAGTAGATAACTGTATATTTAAAAGTTTTTGGCAATCATAAACAAGCAGTGAGTTGATGTCACCGAAGAAAAATGACAAAAACAGAAAAAAAACAATCAAAACAGACAGAGGTGAACGGCAAGCCACCAGCACCGGCGCCATCTTCCCAGAAGATAGATAGATAGATAGTAAGATATAAACACAAATAGTGCTGACCTGACGCTCTGTATTAAAGTGTATTAAAGTTAAAATGTGTTTAAAACCCACAGATGAATTTACACAAACTTGGTGAGAAACATGTTTTAAATGTGTGGCATTAAAGGAAATCTAGGTGAAATGCTGCTTTTTTGTACACCATTGTACACTTTTTTTAACGTGCGTGCACACATGCACCTAAACCCATCATTGTGTCCCCCCCACATTACAGATGCTTCTGACGCCCTTGGATAAAACTCACAATAAATTTAAATTTGTGCATCGTTGTTTTTAAAAAGCAGTGAAGCTGTTGTTTATCCAAGTCCATCATTAGAAGAAGTGAACAAAGAGCCCAGTTCTTACCAGTTTTCCCCTCTGCTGGGCGGAGCGGGTCTCCCTCAGGGCGAAGACGTTGCCACAGACTGAGATCTCCCTCCAGACACCAGGAGCCGTTTCAGAAACAAACTCCCCTGCTGGGTGCATCACCAGGACTCCATTGGTGGTGAGGCCGTCCATCAAACCATCAGATGTTCTCCATTTGGCTGCTCTTTCCTGAGAAACATACACACACACGGACACGCATATAAACAGTGAGGTTAGATAAACAGCAGCCACTGCTTTTTCTTCGGCTACATGTAGTTGAGTCCAGAGTGACTGCTCTGACTGATCAAAGTAAATATAAGACTAAACTCATTTCTGGTTGAAAGAACAGATCTACTCTAAAAACAAAACCATTCTGAATAAGCTGTACGTCCATGTCCCCTGTTGCTGAGAGATCTGAATAGTGAATATTGGAGATGAGTGTTTTTTCTGGGATGGGCTTGAACAGGGAAGGAAAATAACCCTTAATGTTTTTGGTGCAAGAAATTAAAGTGTGGAGGAGTTACAGTGTGGAGAAGAACAGAGGGAGGGTTTATTTGCTTGTCCGAGGCAGCACAGAGTCATGGATCCAGGTGAGTGGAGGGAATAACTTTATCCACCAACAGGTGCAGTGGTGGAGCCAGGAGGTGGCCAATGGTGGCCTTGACCACCATAGATTAATCTTCGGTCACCTCCAAGGACCACCCCAATCATTTGAGGAAACTATACTAACCCATCTGCTCACTACAGACTCATGTTCAGGCTGCTGTTTAATACACCATATTATTTGACATTATTAGAGTTTAGCATATATCTTAGATCACTGTATACTGTTTCTTGGGCGGCTGTGGCTGAGTGGTTAGAGCAGACATCCTCCAATGCAAGAGTTGGGGGTTCGAATCCACCAGCAGTCACATGCTGAAGTGTCTCTGGGCAAGACATTGAACCCCATGTTGCCTCCGATGTGTGTTCCATCGATGTATGAATGTGATAAATCTCTGATTTGTCTCTTTAGAATGATTTGTTCAATTAGCTTTGTATAGATCTAGTATAGAGCTGTATGAATGGATAAAAGAGGCACAGATTGTTGTAAAGAGCTTTGAGTGTCTTGATTAGATAGAAAGGTGCTGTATAAATACAGTCCATTTACCATTTACCATCTTTTGATATCCAACAATGTTCAGTCAGGTCATCTGGACAGTTTTTTTTTTTTTTGATGAGACATTTTGTCCTCCATCCAGAACGTTTCATCAGTCTGAGTCAGGGCTTAATTTGTAAACCAATTGATGCAGGAACACAAATACTACTACACAGAGACTCATGTTTGTGCTGCTGTTCGGCGTAATGTTTTTATGCTACTAGTAACACTGTTTTATGCTACTAGTGCTTAGTGTATATTTAGTTGATGTTTTTCTTAGTTCATATCTTAGATCTTATTACTGCTTTTATTTGACATTTTATTGTTGGATGTAACTGGGACCCTGTGCACATAAATTCATTCCACCACATGTACCACATGGGATGCGAATGACAAATAAAGAACCTTGAATCCTTGAAATAGCAGGCAGTATGGCGGTGGGGGGGGGGGACTCCCCCAGAAAATTTGGAATAAAACAGATGCCATTTCCTACATTTTGATGTATTTTAACATGTTAAACATCTGTAAACATTTGATTAAATTGATTAAAACAGGCCTCTCTTGTAAATGAGTCCTCGAGGCTCAATGAGACTAAAACCCTGTTTAAATAAAGGTTGAATTAAAATTACTATTTTAGAGAGCAACAACAAGCCGAGCAGCTCCGATTCACTCCGACACACTTCACTGTCCAACCCGAACTCTTCTCAGCTGAATTCAGTTGTTGCTCCTCTGCTCCAGTCTCTATCACCACTGCCTTCAGGTGCTTCAATTCTCTGTTGTCCATCTAAGGACAATCCTTCCATCCATCCATTTATTTTAGATAATAAATTGGACTGTCTTTTTGACATTTTGATTGCTGTTATTTTGACAAATTAGTGCCGTTGTTTTGAAACATGAAGTGATGTGAATAATACTCATCAAACATTTCTCGTTTTTTGTTTTTTTTACTGTAAGCTTTTTTATTTATTATGTCTGAAATGCAGGAGTTCAGACACATTAGCAGTTGTGCACGCTCTTTAGCTGTCTTGAGATGCTCCTGCGCGTAAAACGTGCACTGTCTGCAGGGTGCACTGCTGAAGGTGTATGAAGATGCTCATCCCTGCAGGACATGCAGTCCACATCTCTGCTGGGCAGGAGCATGTGCACGAGCTGTGGCTGGAACATCCACTCCACAGACTGGGCAACATCTCCTCTCGTTGTATTTTTAATAAATAATCAAAATTAAAATGTGCGATGACTTTTAAGGGCGGATATTGGAGTTGCTGGATCCAAGCAAAAAGTTGCCGGAACGCAGCCTGTCAAAATGTGAGAGTTCCCGGATCTTGTTCCGGCAGGATCTGGCTCAAATTAACCACAGCTTACTCCAAAATGGAAAAAAAAAACAGTTCTGTTGGTACCAAGATGGCCGCTGGGGCATACCCTCTCCTCCAGTGCCCACCCTTTACATTGTCATCTGTCATGTCAAACTGGTTCAAAACACCAAAGTCCATCTTAGCACCAACAAAACCTTTTCTTTTCCACTTTGGAGTAAGCTGCTTGGGTATGATCAGTTTTGTTTGGTGTTTCCTCAGACTGATGAAGCCTTCTGGATGGAGGGCAAAACATCTCAACACAAAAAAAGAAACCATCCAGATGACCTGACTGAACATTGTTGGATTTTATACCTGGATTATTGAGCATGGACTTTGGTGTTTTTATTTATTTATATATTTTATATTTTAGCTATTTTTGGGTGTAACTGGGACATTGAGTAAACAAGTTCATTCCACCTCATGTACCACATATGATACGAATGACAATAAAGAACCTTGAACTGTGAGCAAGCAATAACAAAACTAGAAAGCATAGTTTCCTCAAAAGATAGTGGTGGTCACTGGTCAGTTTACATATATGTAGATGTGGGTGGCCATCTTGAATTTTGACATGGCAAACCAATTTTCTTATACCTCGTTGCAGCCACACACCAACATGGGATTGCTTATTGCTTATTTGTCTATCATGCTCACAGCATGTACAGACAGATGGATGGACAGACGGACAGAGGGTATTTCCAATCCCCCCCCCACCACCACCACCCCCAAAAGGCAACTCAGCAGCCAGACAACAGATTTTAAATGTTTATCCACTGCCATCTTGTTTGAGGTTGCACCACAAGTACTGACAAATTGAAACTTTTAGTCTTTGGGTCGAAACATAAATGAAGATAATTTTGTAAAAAGCCCAAGTTCTGTCTTGTGACGTAAATGTTTGTGTAAAGTTCAGGACTTCTTCCTGCAGCTGCAGTCAGAGGTTTACATACAGTCAGACTGACATCTGTCAGAGCTCAGAGAAGATGATGGCACTGAAGGTGGTGGGTGAGACTGTGGCCATGAAAAATACCACACTAACAAAAACTGTGAGATGGTTTCACATTTACAGTGTAATCATCCACTCGTCATGGCTATCTAACAAGCTTTTAACAATTTATTTGAACTATTCTGTTTCCAGGGAGGAACTCAACGTTCAACCTCAAAGACCTTTAAAACAAGAATTGTGTGCACAATTTTAAGTTTATTATGAATTTCCTCTAATTCACTCAGGCTCAGAATTATACATACAGGCCTATCAATACACCCTCAGTAATGTTTGGGTAAATGTCATGGACCATCTGCTTTATCATAGACATGAACGTATTTTTGGAGAGAAATCTTTGGAAAACACAGACAGCAGAGAAGAATCCAATGTTTCTTTAGATTATGTATTGTGAGTCTCTATCAGTGAAGCGAAGAAGAGTCGAAGTTCAAAGATGATTGTTTTCAAAGACAAGGAAGTCCTACTTTTAAAGAACTGATGTCACTTCCTGTGATGTCATCACTTTGGCTGGTCCAAGGTACAAAACACTAAACGACAGTTATGTGAGCAAGCAATAACAATCAGGTCTCTCTTGTAAATGAGCCCTCGAGGCTCAATGGGATTTACCTGTCTAAATAAAGGTTGAATGAATGTGACAAAATGGGTAAAATCACATGTATTGTCAAATTTCTTAAATATTAAGAGGTTTTCTTCCACTTTTTGTATTTGTCAGATATACATGTCACAGATACTTTGAGGTGGCGTTATCATTTGTATACTTTTAAAAGTTCTTAACAAACCTAAAAGAAAAACTATCAGCACCTAGAGTTGCCACTCTGGTCTCAGTGTTGACACTGGTGCTTTAACAGTTTCCAGGCAACATGGTGGTGTCCCAAACATCTTAACCAATTTCTTGTTAGAGGAAAATATCTTCTAATTATCTTACTTACTCAAAAAGAGCCAACACTCAAGGACAGAAGATTTTTAACTGGTATATTTACTTGCGAGGTCAGATTATCACAACAGGCTGCACAGTCCCTCGCTACTTTGCAGTTCGTTTTTCACAGACTCATTCTGTCTTGGTTTTTCAAAGTAAGATTGGACATGACACACAAATGGCTGATTGATGGATGAGCCGCACGATCGGCATGTAATTTTTATTTAAAATAAAATGTAAAATATTAGTTGGCACCTCTGTGCAGCCCACACTGCAGGATAAGCTTCCTCCTGCAGCTGAATACTATTCCTACTTCGTTGTATTTCACTTATTGCGGGGCTTCGGGGTACTGTATACACATGAAGCCCAGTCACAAGAATAGGCCACGGGCAGTGTGCAAGACTTGTTTTTATATGCTTATCAGCTCCGTGAAGCTCACAGACTTGGAGGTGACCTTGGAGTGCCCACTGCGCCTGCAGCCTCAAATCAGCCCCTTGTCCAGCTCTCTCTTTAACTCAAACTCATGTTTCATGGGAAGTTACAGTAACATTCTCAGCCATAGTAGTTAAAAACATCTGTAAAACCTTCATAAAAAATTCCCAAACATTTCTACTCCTTACAACTTTTCTGAGTTTCTTGGGGATTTCCTGTTGTGATTATTGATATAACTGCTGTCAAGTAAGTTGTTTTTATGCTGGAGAGGAGAAACCATCAGCTGAGGTGAATCATGATCATTGAAGAAAAGACCTTTTAGAACCAACAAAGTCCATGCTCAATAATCCAGGTATACAATCCAACAATTTTCAGTCAGGTCATCTGGACAGTTTCTTTTTTTTTTTTGTGCTGAAATGTTTCACCTTCCATCCAGAAGCCTTCATCAGTCAAGGAAACACAATACAAAACTGATTCTTCCCCCAACAGCTTACTCCAAAGTGAAAAAAACAGTTATGTTGGTGCAAAAATGGTGTCTTTGGCACGCCCCCTCCTCCGATGCTGGCCCTCTTCCTTGTCGACAGTCATGTCAAACTGGTTCAAAACCAACAAAGAACCTTTTAGAACCTTTTCAGTTGCCTATTAAAAGACCAAGGTGAATGTGTGGATGTGTTTGTGCCTGTACATGTGATAAAACTCACAATAAATTCAAATTTGTGCATCCAATCTTTGTGTTTAAAAATCTGTGAAGTTGTTTGTTGTAGCATTATTCCAGCCTGGGACAAAAAGGTTCAAATAAATAATTAACAGCTTGAAATTATCCAACATCCATGCTCATGATGAGTGGACGCTAACTTCTGACTGATGTCCTGACACCCTTACAGCAACAGTGTCCTGTGTGGGTGGCCCAACCATTCCTGCTGTCACTTTCAGCATATTTAACAATTTTTTCAACAGTTTTAGACAATATGAGGCATCTGGAGGACAGAGATCTCACCCCTAGGAAGATGTTTTTAGAGGAGTCAAAGCCAGCAGCGTAGATGCGAGCTGTGAAGGGAGCGCTGCGTTCACACATGATGCGGCAGGCATAGCGAGAGATGGTGCTCTGAGCCGACTGAACTCCGCCCTCCACCGCCGCACCCCCACCATGACCATTGATGCTGCCCGCCGTATCCGTAACCACAAAGTCAATCATGCTCTCTGTAGATCTGCCAATCTGAGACGAGCGAGACAAAAGAAGAGAGAGTCATCGTCAGCCTCAAAACAAACAAGTTGCTGTTGTTGTGTGTTTGTGTCAGGGAGGACTACGAGAAACAGTGCGAGGAACAGTGCGAGGAACAGCATGAGGAACAGTGCGAGGAACAGTGTGAGGAACAGTGCGAGGAACAATGTGACGAATAGTGCGAGGAACAGCATGAGGAACAGTGCGAGGAACAGTGCGAGGACCAGAGTGAAGAACAGTGCGAGGAACAGCGTGAGGAACAGTGCGAGGAACAGCGTGAGGAACAGTGCGAGGAACAGCATGAGGAACAGTGTGAGGAACAGTGTGACGAATAGTGCGAGGAACAGTGTGAGGAACAGTGCGAGGAACAGTGTGATGAATAGTGCGAGGAACAGAGTGACGAACGGTGTGAGGAACAGTGTGAGGAACAGTGCGAGGAACAATGTGACGAATAGTGCGAGGAAAAGCGTGAGGAACAGTGCGAGGACCAGAGTGAAGAACAGTGCGAAGAACAGCGTGAGGAACAGGGCGAGGAACAGCATGAGGAACAGTGCGAGGAACAGTGTGAGGAACAGTGTGACGAATAGTGCGAGGAACA